GTGTGTGTGTGTGTGTGTGTGTGTGTGTGTGTGTGTGTGTGTGTGTGTGTGTGTTCTCTTGGGGATGATGGGAGGCTCTGTGCAGTGCGTGCAGCCTGTTAAAAGGTGGTGGGGGTCTCACAGTTGGAGACAGATGTCTGTACCACAGATAAGCACCAATCTCCTCACTATCTAAGCCTACCCAACGAGCACACTCACACACATTATGTTTCTCTATCTTTATGCGGACTTTCCACTGACTTCCTTCCATTTTTCATTCATTTCTACAGCCTAACTCTCATCCTAAACTTAGCCACCCCTCGATTCACACGTCCTAAATTTAACCCCTGACCAGAAATGACATTTGAATTAATGGGGCTCAGGCTTTGGGCTCCATAAGGTGCAGTAGGTCCTCACAAGGTAGTATATTTTAGAAAAATGGGCCTCACAAGGTCATACACACACACAGAAAGGCTTCATGACAGATGTAGCAACAAACACAACAAACACTGCATTAATATGAGCAGCTCTGTACAACACACAGACACATACTGGAATAGCTCTGTTTGTTTTTTTTAGCTAAATATTCATTCATTTTAGCTTTTAGAGAGAGTTTTGCTAATTAGTTCAGTTCTGTTTGTTTTAACATCAACAACTCAGTCTCTAAATTTAACCGTCATTTAACCCTCAGCTTTCAAGTATTGTTATTACAGTTTGTGTATTTTATTTTATTTTTTTTACCCTCAGTATTTTATGGCCATGACTAAAGGACCACACAGTGCTGCTCTGTAAAGAGGCACGCCACAAAATATAACCGGAGCCAACAGTAAACAAATGGAAACTGCTCTAAGAGGGCATTTCAATTACTCCTTCCACAAGCCCAGAAGGGTCACCTTCTGCACCCCAGCACTGCTGTTTCCTCACACACCCCCACCACACACACACACACACACACACACACACACACATACACACAACCAGTTTATCAATGTCCAGTGCATTCTCTCCCCTCAGATGTATTCATTCAATCTTCTTTTGTTGGTTAGCGTGTCCCCTGGCAGGACCATTTAGACCCCTGTTTCTGCTGCGCTCAGTCCTGTCAGCTGAGTCCGTTTAGCAACAAAACATGTCTCTCCCACACACCTCCCTCCATGCTGCGACCAAACCTGAGCTCACAACAGAAACACAGCTGGTCCCACACAAAACAAGAACATGAGAAATGGCCTCCACACAAAACACACAACTGGACACAAACACTAAGGGGTGTGGGGTGGGGGGGGGGAATTTTTTTTCTTCAGCATTTTGTGTTGAAGTCAAATATTTATGCTAACACTTAAAACAGATAAGGTTTAAGAAAAAGTACTCTGTTCATCGTTTATATATATATGTGCCCCAAGTGTGAGATTGTGTGTGTGTGTGTGTGTGTGTGTGTGTGTGAGCTGACGGGGGGAAAATTTTCTTCCTGATACAAAACCAACACAGCCAAACACATGTTTTCAATTTCTCTTAGGCAAGGGGACAATTAGGAAGCTCCAAAGCCAACTCAACCCCAAAATAATAAAGTGGAAACTGTGTTACTCCGGTATGACCGAGAAATTAAAGCGGAACATGGCGAGCTGGTAAAATAAGATTTCAATTCAATCCATATGGGAAACTGTTGAGATGTTTTCTACTACCTTAGCGTTGACAAATTACAGTACAATACTGTYAAATATTCATGTTATTGCAGCACTTTCGCCTTGTGGTGTAGTAATATATAAGCAGTCTTTGAAAAACACTCAATGGTGATGTTTCGTCTTGTGGAAGGATCTAAGATACATGCAACAATTTGCTCTGCAGTCTCTCAGGTGATAACCCACATTCTATAAGTGGAAAACGTGTCACTAAATGGGTTGAGATCACAAGGAGAAACTCCATCTCTGCTAAAAAAAATAGATTATGGGGCAAAAGCAAAGCAGAGATGTAAACACTATAAACTTCAGAGGTGACAAATTCAAACGCTTGAGATGACATACTCTAACATCATCATGGAAAAACCAACCGGACACTGGAAATAGATGAAGTTTCTGATGAAATATTTGAAAAACAAACACGTTAAAGTTACTTACATTGTGTCAGGACTTCAAAGGGATAGTTAATCTATTTTGAAGTAAGATTCCCGAAAAGTTATGAACAAATAACATCTTAACTGATGAACGACCTACAGGTTTGAAAGTGATGAACTAAAGGCTAATATGATTGTAGCCAAGAGTTGATAGCTGCCATCTTTTTCAAACAACAAAAGCATTTTACGCAAATAATTTGATACAAAACTGACAGCAGGGCAAAGGTGTATGAAACAATTAGGTACTTTGTGAATGTAATTTGTTTCTGGTTAGAGATGTTTTGAGACGACAGCAATTCACTTTGGTCTGTGGATCATCATATTCCTAATCTAATCTATTATTTGTTCGCTACTTTTTTACAGAATCCCTTTTCAAATTTGCTAATCTATTACTTAAAAGTAAAAAAAAATTCTACATTTTCCTCCAGTTTCTGCCAACAATATCAGATTGTAACAGTAAGTAGAAGGACTCAGGGGTCGTAAAGACATCTTTGTAATCAAACAAGCCCTACTGGCAGGAACACGGGACAAGTTGTTTTTATGGAAGAGATCTTTTCCTACACCAAACCAGGAGAAAATGTTGTCAAGATGTGCTAAGAAGAGCAGGTCTGATAATAGTTAAAATACCAAAGAGTGAGTGTTTGAGTGTGTGGTCAGCAGGCACTCAGAGGAGCAAGAACCTCAACGTCCTCACGCATCACAAAACCTTGCATAAATGTTTTAACTCACTCTAATAAAACCAGTAAAAATAAGACAACTAAAAATGATCAAATGTGCTCATTTCTGAAATTGGAACAGGAAGGAAAKTATAATTACCTGTGCAAATGAAAACACAATTTTTTAAATTTATTCCCCTTTGCGGGGAAGAACATAAAAACCAAACATTTCTAAAAGACACCAGGTCTAAAGCACTCACATAGATGAGTCCAGAGTAGTAGCGGTCCTTCAGGTTGTGCAGCACCGACGCCTCATTCAGACAGGTGAGCTCGGCCATGTCCTCCACCTTGCTGAACTTGGGAGGGTTCATCTTCTGGACGTCATCCTTGTTGATCACCACCTTCTTGCCATTCTCTGCCAGCTCCACCTGCACCTCCTCYCCGCGCTCTTCTCGGATACTGGCCGCCTCGAAGCCGTGGCGCTCTGAGGGGACCCACACCAGCTTCTTGGCRGTCCAGTCCGCCTGTGTGGCTGGGTTGTACACAACGGCACGGTCCACAAACAGGTACCGCTCTGGGTCCTCTTGACCACTCCGATGAGACATCTTACTTGGGATTCAGCTGAGCAATGTGGTCACCTGAAACAGATGGGGGGGTGGGGTGTTAGTGGTTCAGACTGTTTCAGTAGACACTAGGGTTGGGCAATATTGGCAAAAAATTAACACCCTTATGTCTTAGTCACATGACCAATTTAGTGGGAAAGATTACTCTTCATAAAAATCTGTTCCAAATTGTATCAAAATTACAGACTTCAGGCAATACATCAAATTTTAAATTGTGTTGATAGATAAATAAATTACAGAACCTTTTTTTTAATGTTCATCATATTTGAAGCGGAGAGGATCACCGAGTGGATTGACTGGAGAAATCTCCCCTGGTGGCATTAATCCTATTAATCGTCAAGTACCAAAAATTAATCGATTAATGTTCTTCTGACGATTAATTGCACACGATACGATTATGCCCAAACCTAGTAGACACAGGAAGTTTATTGGACTGGGTCTTAATACGTTAATGRACATTTCTTCTATTTAGCTTTATAGATCTTTAATTACTACACTTTATATTTGGAATAAAGAACAAACAACCAAAATCTAAACATGTATCAAGTTTGARGTAAATTTCAGAGCAACTTTGCAGAAAATAACCATAATAGGTGCAGTATTTTGGTCTACAAATGTGTGTATTCTAAGTGGTTACATCATCATGCTTCTCTGTAATATTCTTTTAAATGTGCCTTGATTTTAYCAACTACTTTTGTTTGGTTTGGGTAGGATTTTTTTGTTTTGTTTTGTTTTGTTATTTTTGGTCTTTTTGAGACTCATTGGCTGCATTACTTTATAAATACAATCTTAATAGCTGTTTCCCTTAGGTAAAAACTATATTACCAGAATAAACAATTATTGATGGATAAGTATAGGTTGGAATGATTTTAAGAATGATTATTATTGCATTATTAGATANCCCTGTTCCCTGACAACTAAATATCACCTACATTATGTCATCAAACTATTGCACACCAACAAATGTATTCAAGCAAAAGAAACCAGACAACTTGTGTTTTATTTCGACCATGTCTTGTCCTCTCCTTGAAAAGTGAAGCAAGGGAATGAGGAGCAGCAGCCTTTGTGTGTGCATGCAGCCTCAGTTTTAGCCCAGATGTGTAGAAGTTACTTAATATATTCATGTTTATGTGCTGTCCAGAAAAAGCACTTAAATATTACTGGTAAAATAATATCAGCATTTAGTTTAGTTGTACAGTAATATTGATATATAATATAATGTGTATTGTTTATTTAGTAAATTCTAGTAGTTTAGAGATTTTGATATTTTTTGTAAAATTTAAAAGAATAATTAATTACTACACCCAAAAATCCATTTTTTCAGTGTATTCTACTCTCCTCTATTCTAATAGTTGAAGTTTACATTTATTTCAAAATAAAACAAAGCCTTTGCTATATTTATTATGATATCTGAGACAAAAGCAACAGCTAATGCAGCTATCACGGCTGATGCTGCTAACGCTGCTAACACCACTAATGCTGCGCTCCTCAAGTCCCCCACATCCTCAGGCGTACTTCACTCTGAGGAGGTCCGCGCAGACTCAAGGAGGACCCGATGCGGACACAAAGCAGACAGCTGCCAAGCAACAAATTCATGGTAGGAAATAGCTCAAAGTCTGGGTAAGGTAAGTTAATTTCCATTGTTGTTTTAAAGCTAAAATGCAAGTAATCTCTCCCTCCTCGTCCCTGACGCCATGAATGAAATTAAGGAATTTGTCAGGTGATCAGTACGCTCGACTATGAATTCCCAAACATCCGTGGACATTATGCACAGACTCTGCGCAGCTCGCGGAATGCACACAGTGTGCCTGAGTATGTGGGACTCTGCTAAAGGGCTCAACAGACGGGAGGCGACGTCGCTCGCTCTCCATTCATTTCCTATGGAACTTGTGCAGTGAGGCGACAATCGCTTGCCCTCCTCCAGCTATGCGACCGGCAAAAATAGTGCATGTGAAATTTTGCACTCGTACACTTACATCGTGCACACGCGAGCTTGCGACGCAACATATGAAAGTTGAAAAACGTTCAACTTTTGTCGCTGTCGCTTAGCGTACAACCAATCAGCGAGGGTTTCATTGACTGACCAATGAGCAGAGAGTATGCTACACACTGCAGTTAGCTAACACTTTCACCAAGTGATTACTAAAAAAAGGCAGCTTTGTGGGAATTTGTTGGCTCCGGGGTGAAGTTTATGGTATGTTTTTCCTCATAAAACTGTGTCTTGATGTGTGTTTGTTTCTCAAATCATTAGCATCGCAAGATTTGTTTAGTTTACACGTCCGTAATGCACACCCCCACTTCAGAGTCAAGAACCAATCAAATTTCGTGAAGACAAGCAACCTGAAAGAGCGCGATTCGCAACGCTGCAATCGCTATCGCGTCCCGTGTGTCGGGTTTCACCCTGGCTGCGATGACAGCCGTTAATCGCTGTAGTTTGTCGCTGCCCGTGTGTCGAGCCCTTAATGCAGCTAACGCTCCTACCACTGCTAATGTCGCTGACGCCGCTAACGCTAACTTGTAGTTGTGGCAGGTTTTTGAGTTGCATTAAAAAGTGCCAGACCACAGGTACCATTCATATTGTTTTCAATGAACACATTTTGAATTAAAATTTTAAATACTATCTGCAGAAGCGTTAGCAGTTGCTTTTGTCGCAAGATGATGATGTTTAACGCTGCTGACACGAAAGACTTCTTCAGTCTGACGAAGTCTCTTGGAGGAGAGACGAAACGTTCCATCAAAGAAGAACCCGTCTAGATGACCTACTTAAAGTTTTCTGATTTTTCTACTTGGATTACTGAGATGCATCAAGACATTTCCTGAATGTCACTCTTCAACTAGCTGCCAGTGGTCACAGCACAGCGAGATGCTACCATCACCATCAGATCCAACCATGTGGTCTTTTTATAAAACGTAAGACAACAGTTAAGACTTGTTAAGACTGATTTCTCTCCTTTCAAACTGTTTATTGTTGTGCTGACACTGGTGCTGGGAAGAGATGAATCAACCACCTTCTGACAAGAACACCCACCACGAGACCCCAAGGGTCTCCAACAACAATAGCCTTACAGAAGTGGCCGAAGCTCCTGTGTGGTCAGCTAAAAAAGCAACTGTCTGGTCCTGAAAAGAAGATTAGTTTAATCTAGTAATGGCTGACATTGTGAAGCCTTTAGCAGCAGTGGGGTAAGAGGGTCACAAAGAACTGCTGAGGAGCCCATTGTAGATATCTAAAGCCCCCACCAGAAGCCCCTGTCCTGTTCCCCCAAACTTGCCGGCCTCAGCTGACCCTTCAGCCAAATGAAGGCTGCTGTGTTTTGCCCATCTGAAAGCACAGAAACACTTAGGATGGACAGAGGCGCCTTTGAACAATGGAAGGGGTGGAGATCATTAATTACTGACCACTGTGAGAAGATGGGACTCCTTCAAGATTCCCACTTTAACAATCAGGCAATACAAGGGAAACTTTATGTGGTCGTTTATCAGGGGGTGGGAACAAGAGAAATGTCTTCAAAAAGCCTCACTTAGTTTCAGAGAGGCTACTGCAACAACAGCAATAAAAACAAACAGGTTGAACAAAGAATAACGTGTTTTCATATTGTTTTATATAAAAAGTGTTCATTAATCTTTAGAGAAATTTTAACCCCACCCTCYTCCGGATTTGAACCAGAACACAGATGGTGAGAGGTACTGCTGTAAACTGAACACCTCTGGTTTTACTATGGTAGTATTTCCCAATAGATACTATTCTTACACTTGAGGATAACATCCACTCTGAAAAGAAACATCTTAGTTCAAGTTGCACAAATCTGCGCTACCATTAAGAAATAATGTGTAAATAAATCAATGCAAATAAACATTGGTAACATTTGAAATGTAGTCTGTTTTTAATGCAAACTGGAAAAATGAGTCTGTACCAAAWTAAAAGACTGACATTTAAAAACAAATTTTATTGAGATTTTCTGGACATTTGGGGCATTTGCTTAAAAGTTTTGTACAAACGATATCTTGCCTCCCGTAGAAAATTTTTGAACCTCACTTTGAAAAAAATATACTGTATGTCTGAAAAGATTGATGAGATAAGAACTAGTCTGAATCTAGCCAAATGGACTGCTGCCATTTTATAGTCTAATCTCCCAAATGTCTTTTGGTTTGTACAAATATATTGTTTAAATGTTAACATCAGCATCAGTTTCAAGTGAAAGTTATTTCCATAACATACATGTCAACTCTTAGGCATTGTCAGGAAATTGTACAAATTTCTCTCCATTTTCATCCCTACACATGTATGGAGAAAGTCTTCAGTTCACTAATTCCAATTAAATTCAATGGCTCGTATGGAACTGATAGAACAAATAACTGCTATTGGTCAAAAACAATATTGCGCCAGTATTTATATCGATTTGAAGAAAGCATTTGACACAACTGACTAAAGCATCCTCCTTGAAAAACTAAATAAATATGGGATTAGAGGACCAGCCCTACAATGGATATGTAGTTATTTGGAAAATAGGAAACAGTTTGTACAAGTACATGATGTAAAATCTGAACTCTGTAAAATTACATGTGGAGTTCCTCATGGTTCTATACTTGGCCCAAAGTTGTTTATTTTGCATGTGAATGACTTGGTAAACGTGTCAGGGCTATTCAAAAGTGTTTTATTTGCAGATAATACTATTTTTTTTTGTTTGGGTACAAACATAGAACGAATGTTAAAGATAATGCAGATAGATTTTGTGAAAATACAAAATTGGTTTAAACATAAATCATGATTAAATTTGGATAAAACTAATTATATGATATTTACAAAGAGACAAAGAACTGTTAATATTCCATTTAGAGTTGATGGTGTAGAGATTAGTAAAGTCAGTGAGGTAAAGTTTTTGGGTGTTATTATTGATGAGAAACGGACATGGAAACCTCACACAAAATTTTGTAAGAATTAAATTTGCTAAACATATTGCATTGTTTTACAAAGTAAGGGACTTGTTTAATGATAAAGCTCTGTATATGTTATATAA